AACTGAGAGTAGATTTGATGCTTTGAACTAAATATTAGTTCTAACTTCACCAAGGTCACTATGCATCTGTTTTTATTCAACTGGAGCAGACATGTCAAGCTCATGACGTCATGTGACATCACCAGACGTATCAGAACTTTTGCCCATTGCCGGCAATGGGTTGGACACGGTTTCCTCGTGACGCATCCGGCCTGGCAGTTTGACACCCCTGAACTGGAGGCATTTCCTGTATTTTGCATCGTGGCTTTAACTTTGTTTTCATGCGGTTGCAATTGAAATCGTATTGGTTTTATTCTAAGGATTTAAAGAGTAGCGTTGTGTCTAAGTGCACTGATTCCAATTCTATCTGCCATGTGTAGGTTTTCTTGAGAGTCACCAATGCTTCCAGCAACCACCCTGATGGTACATCAACAACCATGGTAGCCCACCACACAGAGCTAGGTTGAGGTTTTCAATCCAGACCCCAGTTCAAGGCGGATTCCCACAGGTATAAAAATGTAAAACCCAATTCCTGGCTTTAAAATCATGTATAAGTTTGGGGCCCAATAAGTTGACAAGTTTTCAAATGACAATCATTTGGGTATTGGAACATAAGGCTGAATTTTGGTTGGTCCCTGTGAATTGATTCTTAGCCCAACAGCATGGCAGCACCCCACTGCCACACATAAAGTCTGTGTACTGAGGCTTAGTTATCTCCTTAACTCAAATAGCAACTCTTATCTATCTTTTATCTCAACAAGCATTAGAAAAGACTTGGTTAAGCCTGCCAATATGGCAAGGAAATAAAAAGAGGTGCATGAATCTGTCCAGTTGTTAGCAGTTGAACAAGAGGCAGGAATAAAGTGTCTCTGTGTTAATCTGCTAAATGGATCCAAGAGCCTATGTTATAATCCGGGGAAAGATAAGCACTTTTTAAAAGTCTTAATGAGTTCAGCAACAAAGAATGCGGCAAGCACATATTTCTCCATGCACATCAATGCGATCCACTCTATTTATTAATTGTATTGAGATTGTGCCTTCCTTGATGGCAGCTGTAATCGAGCTGGTAATTTTCAGTTTGACTGTGGAAATGATGGGAGTTAAAGTCCATCACATCTTGAACCCAATGAGACATCGCAAAGCCCCCCATGGTCTCTAATAGCAGTCTCTGTAGATGAAGCTGAGACAGAAAGATTGGACACAATCAGCCAGTGAGCTTCTAGGCCAAGGCAGGATTTTTGAACCTATATTTCCTAGACTGAAATTGCGGTAACTCCAAAGTAAAGATACTTAACTTGCAGTGGATTGATCGATTTGATCAAACCTCTTAATACATTAGCATTTTGCTTTGGAAGGAGTTCATCCAACATCATTATTGGCAATCTATTTGCATTTACTTTATTTACATATCAAGCCCATCTCTTTTTAGAAATTAGGGGTGAATTATATTTTAAAAATTATGTTAAAAGAAGAAAGGAATAGAAGGGAAAAACCAAAGTGGCAGATCAGCTCTATGCATGTCTACTCCAAACTACATTTAGCGATTCACTCTGGTAAACAGAATGCGTCAAACAATACTGCTCTTAAATATATTTATTTATAGAGAAATTCATTGGAATTCCATAGAAGTAAGTTCTGAATAAGACCATAATGAGCAGACTGAACGGTGTTTGGTAATTCTTGATAAATTTGCTGGCAAGTCTGCAATTCTCTTCCTAATACAAATTGTATTATGTACTCTGCTAGCACACGCCAGCCAAGAAATGCCTATTACCAAAGCCAACTGAGCTGGCCAAAATTCACTGGAAAACAGAATGAACACCATACAGATCTTCTTGTTTCCATGAATGAGAATGGGATCAAATTGCAAAAGAAACCTACCCTAAGGAAACTCCGAAATGTGTAAGTACTATCGAGTTTAAATCCAAATAGGGGGGGGGGGGAAATCATCTCACACTGCTTGTAAAATATGCAGAGGTTTTGGCAAATCTTCTGGAGATGTCTTTCTCTAGATCAGGGGTCTTCAACTTGGTCCTTTTATGACTTGTGGACTTCAACTCCCAGAATTGCTCAACCAGGCATGCTGGCTGAGGAATTCTGGGAGCTGAAGTCCACAAGTCATAAAAGGGCCAGGTTTGAAGACCCCTATTAGTCTAGATGGTCTTGGCAAATGGTATTTAGTAAAAATAGTCAAGGCAAGAAAAAGGGTGGTCCTCCTGGTCTCCTGGCTCTGCTCTAGAGAGGAGCTATGTTTACTTGCATCTGGAGCTTGGCTATTCTCAACCCAAATAGATTCCAGCCAGCCATGCCCATTCCTCTCCCAGCTGGCATATGTGGCTGCGCCACTTGGCAGGTGACAGCCACTGCATGCATCTGGTGGTGGCATTTTTAGAAACACTCCAGCAGTAAACTCATCCAACCATTTGGGAGAAGTTTCTTAATGTGGAAAGCATTTCTCTACAGTAAGCACATTCTCCCCCCCTCAACTCATTTCAGCACTGCAGATTCCCCCCTGCCCCCACTTCTCCTTGCTTAAGTTGTTTGGTGGTTTCTCAAACTCAGCAAATGATAGGCCCTGCTGGTGGGGCATTGCAAGTTGTAATTCAACAAAATCTGGAGAATCAAATTTTCATCCTTCATTTAGTATTACCGAACTGGAGCGAGAGATAATTTAGAATCTCACTAGCAGGCATCTTTTGACAAGGATTCCCAGTGAAATATACTAAATAATAAGCTGTACTTGTGAAGCCGAATGTTTTGATATATTTTAATCTGTCTGCGGAATCCTGATTCATTAACTGAAATTTTTAGTCCACTCAAGTCCGTGTATTGGTTGTATTTCAAGGCCACCCAACTCTGAAACTATTCTTGTGGCATCATCAGTTAAAAGAAGCAAAAAAGTAAACCTCTGTATAAGAGGCAACATAGCCTCCAGCCCACCTCTAACTTAAAGGGGCTCACCCAGCCCCCTTAGACTTTCTGCCAAGGACCTCTCCCTTTAGATCAGCTCTAAGAAAACTAAAAAAAAAAATCTTTCGGACCGTCCCCTCCAAAACCCAAAACTACCACAGTTATTAAATATGCCATTTATGAAATACAAGTAGCAGTTGTGTAATTGCTTGCACATGGAGATGGCTTTAACAAATAATCAACTTATTAAGCCAAAAGCAGCCAAATCTCTGGGCTTAAAAATATAATTTATTTGGTAATGAGAAATATACTGTACAAAAAAAAAAGAGGGAACTTACTAATTAATCAGGGATTTCCAAATAAACCGACAGAGTCAGCAAGGCTGAATTAGTCCACAAGGCCTGCATTAAGCAAGATTTTTTGGTTTCAGCACATTGCCAAGGCTCATTGCAGTGAACAGGTAGAGAGATCCTGTTCATGGTTTAATCAGGATCTCCTTGCTCTGCTTTCTTTTGTTGATGATGTTCAATTTTATAAACCATAGAGCAGTGTTTCTCAACCTTGACAATTTTAAGGCATGTGGACTTCAACTCCCAGAATTCCACAGCCAGCGATGCTGGCTGTGGAATTCTGGGAGTTGAAGTCCACATGCCTTAAAATTGTCAAGGTTGAGAAACACTGCCATAGAGCGTAATTAGAAGCCAGCATCTTGGAAAAACAGTTTTCTTAGTCAAAGAAAATGTCCCCCATTTTTGACATTTAAGCATTTAGACATTTGTGGCTAAAATGACTAACCCAGTTGATGAAAACTAGATTGCAGTTTATCAATTGGACCACTATTATTATGGGTTTTTATGAAAGCAAGCCTCTCTGCATGGGTCAATTTACTGAAAAGTAAGGGACTGTCATCCACAGTATTGCATAAGATCCTTAGACTGTAGCTCACTTTATCCCATCTCCACTAAGGTTGCTCTGGATGTTGGGATCTGAACAGAATTCTATACACCCACAGCATATTTTACCCTCTTACAGTATGCCAGAGAACTCTTTGCAGAAGTTGGTTTTAAACATAACAAAAAAAGTTCACCTAGTGCTACAAAACTCACATAAACAAATAACAATGTTTATTTAGTTCTTTTGCTTGTAAGATTGAAATAAATGCCAATTTAATAGGAGAGCTAAATATAAGTATTAGTGCAAAAGATACCAGAGCTGGATAGGTAATTTTTTTTTCCAAGTGCAGTTTGCTTCTTTGATTCCCCTCGTCTAGCATTTTATGCTTAAGGCAACACTATTATTTTGAATAGATGCCCATTCAAAGGCTGCAAATTAAAGAACAGTCTGTTATTTTAAAAAACATGGTCCTTTAGTGCCATCTTGTGGCATATGCACAAAATCACAGTGCTATTTTGTGGCATATGCACAAAATCAGTCTGGTTCTCAATGTGTTTGTCTGTGTGTGCGTACACGTACATGTGCACATACAGGCCTTCTAGTCAGTGTTCACTTCCCGGCAATTGCCTGTACAAGTCCTTGGAGTCTTCTTGGCAAGATTTATTTATTTATCGAATTTAGATACCACCCAGCTCACTCATAGAGCGACTCCTGGACCGTTTACAGATAAAAGATTTCAAAAGTGGCTTATAAACTAAAGTAATTTTTACCTGTCTATAATCATGAACAATGGTCTAGCTTCTGCCCTCTATCAAGTAGAAATGAGGAAAATATATTTACCTTTTTTTAAACTTCTTTCAGTTCAGTAACAAACATTTAGTGAAGTACAATCAAGCTTAATCAATCCAGTGCAGGATGTAGTCCTCTTTTTGAAGACCATGGATACAATCTAGTACACTGGTCCAGTACAGTTGGCAGAGAAATTTTTTGATTATTCGGAAGAAATCTAGATCTGAGACGGATTACTTGGCCTAGGATAGAACTAGAATCTGGGATGAAGCAGTGTCTAAATAACACTGGCAAGAGAAACATATAAACAAATAATATAGACCTATCAATTAAAAAGACATTTGGAGATTTGCCTCATTGCTTTTTCTGGAGACAATTTGAGGAAAAGTTCATTTTTATAATTTAAAAAGAACCAGTAATAAGGCTTATACACTTTGCTTCATTTAATTTATAAAATTTTCACAGTACTGGCATCCACGTGGTATAGTATACAATATATCTAAAATAATATATAAACCTTATTTGTATTAGTATTCTTCCAGTCCTCTCAGTTCTGTACTGAACTGAGAAAAGGAGTAGAAATGGCCAAAGATGGGGGATGTTGGAATATGCCTCACAGAATGATACAGCCTTCCAGCCTCAGAGCAAACAAGCACACTTTTTCCTCTTGTTCTAATCTGCTGCTCATTTAGCTTACTAGTACAATGTAAAGTTCTGCCTAATGGAAGTCTCTTCTGTCAGAAGTCTTTCTGCAATATATTGCCTTTCTTTTTTCCTCACAGTCACACTTCCTCCTTTCACAAAAATGGAAATAGTCTTTTCTTCAAGATGTAAAGCACAGTGGCCAAAAACAAGGCAAGGGCAAGAAAGATGAGCAATTTATCAGTCAGCTCCCTGCGGTTATACTTTGTAATAAGCTTTCGCCCCAGCTGTATTGTTCCAGACATGGATTTAAACTCCTCATTGGCATCCAAGATAGTTCGTGAAGAATTAACTGAAAGATAAAAATGTACATTTCAGTGGATTGTTTCTGAAGCATCTAGCACAAGGGTCTTCAAACTTGGCCCTTTTATGACTTGTAGACTTCAACTCCTAGAATTCCTCAGCCAATGTGCCTGGCTGAGGAATTCTGGGAGTTGAAGTCCACAAGTCATAAAAAGGCCAAGTTTGAAGACCCCTGATCTAGCAAAATCATATATTGTGGAAGCATCTTTTTTGTGTCCTGTGAAAGAAAACATATCACATGTAGTTCACTGGGTAAACTGGCTTAAAGCTTCACATTTTTAGATCTGGAACCAGATGAAATCAGTTCAAATGGCTCTCATGTTATCCGATGACCACCTGAAAGTCCAAATGATATATTACCATCTTGAAGAAGCCCATTCATAAAAGACTGAGATCAGAGTTGGCTCAAGTTCCAGAACCTTCAAAACTTTCACCTCAGCCAAACTCTGCATCCCAACAGACCATGCTCTCCCTTAAGGCTGTTCACAAGCACTTTAAAAAGGCAGATGTAAATAATTAAAATGGCAATGTATAAACATTCATAAGCATTTAATTAAAGCAATCTGATCCATCTAAAATCAGATAAAAGCATTAGGCCTACAGTTAAAAACTGAGAGGGAAAGCGCCAAGATAAACATATAATGGAAGAGTTTGCACAATAAAACCAATCATTTCCTTATCTAACCAAAAGCAAATTCAGATCAGACTCCCCAACCCCAGAATGGATTACAGCATAATCAAATAATCTCAAAGGCACTTTAACGACCCTATGGAAAATGAGCAGGGGGTCCACAGTGATAACTTTTGCTTACAGTCAGTTTGCCTTGTGCTACTCAATTCCTTGTAATATGCATTTTCAATCTCTTGAGATTTTTCTGCTGGTCTCCCTTCAAAGTGCTAGCCATTCTCTTTGGAATTAGCAAGACAGGCTAGGTGCTGCCTTCTTTTGAGGTCATCACCATAAGCAAAGGAATTAAAATAAAATAATATTGGGGAGAAAAAAGTGTAAATCACTGAAGTGAAAAGGCAACTTGCCCCTTCAATCTAAGTGTCAGATTCAAGCATTTCTTTTCTTGGCAATGAAAGCAGCAATGATTTCTCACACAGAAAACTGAATTCACAAATGTCTCCAGTGAGGTACATCAGGCCTAATTCTCCTGGTTTCTTCCTCTCATCAAAGGACCATATAAATGACTAAAGGCCAATAGCTCTGGGGAGGATATAGGGGTGGGAAGAACCAGGATAGCCCTGTTGCATCAGAAGACCAACTGTCCATCTTGAACTTAATTCCAGATTATTTAGATACCTAGAGACTGCATGGCTTCTTCACTTTGCTGAACCTGCTGAGACATCATCCTGCTAATTCCCATCAGGCTCTCTGTGATGTTACTTGCTCCCTCTGCCAGGCTTTCCTTAGTAGACTTTCTGAAAGAGAAGAGAAAAAGAAATCCAGCATGGAGGTTCATATAGTATTCCTTTATAGTTTCTTCTTCAAAATCAGAAGGACCATAGAGAAGATGGCATCAAGCTTGCATTCCAGTACCGCAGTGTTTCCCAAACTTGACAATTTTAAGGCATGTGGACTTCAACTCCCAGAATTCCACAGCCAGCGTTGCTGGCTGTGGAATTCTGGGAGTTGAAGTCCTCATGCCTTAAAATTGTCAAGTTTGGGAAACACTGCAGTACCGTTGTAAACATGCTTTCAATTACACACAGTTTCCTTGGGATGACACAGAGAGGATTTGCCACTCCCTTCTGCTGAGATATTTTGTTCAATTATCCAGTCTAGTTTGTGGTTCTAAACTATGAGGCTCCTGCATCCATCAGTTAACTAGGTCTATGCCTACATAATGTAGCTTCTAAAGCAACCAAAGTCAATTAGATGCTGTCATTTGCTGAAATTCTTAGGCTTCCTCAGGTCAGGCATTATTTTGAGTGAACTCAGTACTGCCTGAATTGTCCTTGGTTGACAGAGAAAGCTAAGAGGAACCAGCTATGGTTACTAACACCATCTCGCAATTAAGGAGTGATAGGCTAAATACAGAAGTAGAAAAACATCTTTTAAAAAAGTAATAGAAAACATGTTTTTACATTATACCAAGTTGTTCATACTTGTCCATGACGACATCAAGTGTTGAGCTCATTGCAACTTTACTTGCTTTAGAGTAATGACCCCAATTGTTCCAGCCTGAGTATGACGTACTAGCCATTTCCTGATGGTAGGAGAAAATTACTTAATTATCTTCCCAGCCCCAAATCACTAGGAAGGCAACCTCTGTTTTTCCTCTATAGGCCAAAAGTAGTGCTCTCCCACTTATGTCTGTCAGTCAGGTTGTCTGATTTGCTTGCTACGCTTCATTAAGAGAGAACAACTTAGATTTATAATGGTTCACATGAATGGATTTCTGAAATAGTACTTGGCAGGAGGTTGGGAATTTCTGTGCTGATTTTTGATAATAATGAAAAAGAATAATGGCATACCTTTGTCGTAAAGGATCTCCTCCTCGCAGCAATTCATCTTTCTCAGAATTGTCAATTGCAATTTTGCAAGCTAGGTTTGCCTTACGCCAGGCTGTCTGATTGCTGAAATTATTAATACACAAAGTTCATATCATATACAAAGTTCCTGAAATACCTGAATGCATAAAATTAAAGCATTCAATTTGCCATTAGCTTAATTAACATTTTATTAGCATTCATATTATATTAGCTGTTATATTAACTGTGTTATATATTTATTTTTCTATTTCTTTATATCTTATCACCACATAAATAGTGTTTCTTAGTTGGTGGTCCATTTAACAGTGAAAATATCTGGATGCTTACAGAAATCAATAACTATTATCCAAACTTTTGGCAATATTTATAACAATGTGTCTAGCACTGGATGGATGGCCCGAATCAAACTATTATTTTTCCATCAATTGATCAAAAGTTGCATTGCAAATCATAGCTAATTGTGGTAACACAGTATTGTAGGGAGCTATTTTTTTCTATGAAAAGAAGGAAGAACTCACATTTTTGGAAGAAAACCTCACTAAATTTAATGGAGATGTAAAGATGTCTAGATACTGCATTCTAGAGACCCTCATGCATAACAGGTTGAGTACCAGCTGCAAACAAAAATCAGTCCTGCTATCATAAACCTGTACTTTTAAGCTTGAAAGGCACATGATTTATTGTATTGTGGGGAATATGTGGGATCTGAGAAAGGAATACTAAGATACTTGACTGGGAGACAAACAAACAAGCAAACTGTTCTGGTCCCTTGTTACTTCATGTGATTCTCCAATCCCATCATTCCAGCCCATTTTACAGAGCTGAATTTTACCTTGATATTTAATTGATAAATTGCTATGTGCAGAGCAACACATAGTAAAGGTTCTTCCCCTGAACAAACATGGCACAAGATATTTATTTTTTAAAAAACTTTTTTCCCTCATGAGTTCTTGGATTGTGTCCAACTGAACTCCTCTCTCCTATCCATATGCCTTCCAAATCTGCTCTACAGGGTTGAAGAAGCTCTTTCAGTAAGTCTGGTAGTACAGAAGAAAAGCAAAAAATCATTGAAGGCAGGTGATTACCTTCTTGCATAATAACCACTTATGGTTAAATCAGAGCCTTGATTACTTTAAAAACAAGTAGGGAGTTGCTTACAGAAAGGGAAGTATAGAACTTAAATATACAATCAATCAAATCTTGTGTGAGGGATAACTTCAGTGCTTCCTATATTCCAAATTTCCTATTCTGCAGGCTCAGCTAATAAAACATATTGCTTCATTGGTCTTTGTAACTTGAAATTTTTAACTGACCTGAGCATTTGCTTTTTATGATTCTCTACTTCTTGGAGTAATATTTGTTTTTCTGATTCTTTATCTTGCTCCTTAGCCATCTGTTCAAGTTCCTAAGAAGCATCATAAACACACATTATTTATGAATACTTCTATATACAAAAAGGGAATATGTTAGTAAATGCACAAATACAAAATGCCTTGGTTGCGAATAAAATTCCCACCAATGATCAAGAGCCATGGAATGTTGCAATCTCTCTCCTTATCTTACCCAGAAACAAGTCAGTACATACCTTTGATTTTTAGATTATTTACAGAGCATGAACAGAACACCTGGTGTTCTTTAGTAGCGTTTGAGGGTAAGACATTGCTTATTTAGTAAAAAGAATAAAACTAAAGGCCGTATTTGATGCGACAATTCTGATGCAGAACCAGCTGATATGAAGAAAATACACATCACCAAAGGAAAACAATTATTAGATCCTCCACATTATTCCTCTAATTAAAGGACATTAACTTTTCCCATCCCTGCCCCCCAGTAGGATTACTTTTGTTACTATATTTTAATTGATTAAATCATTGTCCAATATTGCACTTTGCAACATTGTCACCACATACAAAAACTGAGCCAACTTTCTGTTAGATTTTCAGCAAGTTTTACCAAAAAAATATATCAGCAACTAATAGTAATGTTCCAATTCTAAGTATGTTTGAAATAAATTTATTCTATTGAAGTTCCCACTCTTCCCTCTCCAAGTTCTGCATCCACTTCATCATATGTCTTTAACATACTGAGACTATGAAGCATGCTTTTAGATTTATAGTAATATAATAATGCATAGATTGTATCTAACAGATATTTAACATTATGTATTATAAGATTTTCAAATGCACACACAGTAACTGAAATAGCAGTAAAATAAATTCATGACATTTTCAACATTCTTACTATGAGTTTTGGTGAAACCAAGCTGTGTAATTTGTGATCTTTGACCATTGCTGACAGATATAAATTCAACAATGTTAAACTCCTTTAAAAAAAAACTTTTACAATAGTTTAATGTTCAAGCAACAAGGAATTACATGCAGGTGACTGCAAACATGTGAGAGACAGAAGCTAGTAAAAACATCTATGGTTTTATTTTCAAAACACCATTAATGTTTTGTCAATATTCCTCACTTGTATTCGGAGACGTACATGCTGGAATTTTTCTTTTACTTTTGCATTTAATTCTGCAAGTACACTTACAGGTCCTGTACAATCCCGGATATCCTGAAAAACAAGAAAATTATAATGTCAGTCTAGTAGGACTGGAGAAACCCAGATTCTAATCCATCTTTGGCCATGGAATTCTACTGGGTGACTTTGAACTAGTCATCCTCTCAGCCCAGCCTATTTACACAGAGTTGTTTGTTGTGGTAAAATAGTAATGTACATCATTGTGAATTCCCAGAGAAAAGTCGAAAAACAAATGTAACCAACACAATACACTTTTTGCACCGATGTTCTCTTGGAACATATATCTGGATCCTCAACATTCAGCAATTTCAGGAAGGCTGGATGATATACCAGTAGGATATTTTAAGTCAAGTATTATTATTATTTTTAAAAAATAACCATTTGAAGGAGGGCTGCCACGGTGAGACTACCATCATACACCAGAGTAGGAAAGACAAACAGCTGAAACATTGCAGCGTCCAAAAAAGCAGTTGCCCAAATCTGGGGTCGCCGAAACGGTCAAGTGACCTGCAGTATTTATAACAGCACAGATCTTGAGCCAAACTGACCCGTCCAGCTACAAGGTTGACTGAGAGATGCAACTGAACAAACCTGTACCGGAGGGTCGACCATTGATAATAGAGACAAGCGGTTACGGGCTTATAAATAAAGTGCCCAGCGATCACACCGTGAATGATTGAGCAACGGCGACGGGAACTCTACCTGCACGGCGGCTTTAATCTCCAGGTCGAATTTGACAATCTCCTGATTGCAAACCCGGACCGGCACGTCACCGGCCGCCGCCATCTTGGAACAAACTACGGCGAGCGAGAAGGAAGGCAAGAGAATGTGGAATGCGAGCGGACTTGGAGACCGAACGTCCACAAAGAGAAGTCATTGGCTGGTGTAGGCATGACGTGTTCCTTTCTCACGAAGCGGCGTTACCCGAGACTTCCAACTGCGTAGGGTGGACCAAGTGCTGTTGGACGAAAGGAGGTGTTTCTTGTGCCTCGAATTCTGCCACGTTTTTCCCGGCAGCCGCGCTTACCTGTGTGTTTGCAGTCAGGAGAGAGAAAAAACAGGGTCTACTACAGTATGTTTAAGATTGCGGTGACGGAATTACTTGGAAAGAACTGTAATTCAGATTTTCCCTTGCTGTAGCATCTTTCATTTGATTATAACATGTCATGTTATTTATTGGGGTTTATATTTGTACCATTATTGTTGTTCTCTTCAATAGGGAGAACTCGATATTTGAGTATATGCTTTTTTTTTTTCTTTGCGGAAAGTTAGGCCAATTCCCCAGTATTCCCAGATGAAGTCATCCTAGATAGGAACGGAGAACTCGACTGCAGGATCGCTGTGGAAATTGCATTGAATGAGCCATTAGTTTGAAATTATTTAATAGGCTCTTATACTTTTAAGATATCCCCTTTACAGAAAGCCTAAATAAATAACATTATTTGATAATTTCTGAAGTTTTGAAATGTTTTACTCAAATTCAGAATTGATCTAAAATAGGCTAGTGTATATAATGAGTTCAGCTCATTTATCATTTTCATTACTGTTTATAATTACATCCTACAGAATTAAATTGTTTAAGTGAATGCTGGGGTTTATTTGGTTGTTGTTTTGGGCTACTGATGCATTTAGATACCTTTTGTGCCTTTCCTTTTTGTGATAAGCAAAGTTATATAGCACACAATAAGCGTTAAAAGCTAAAGCAATTGAAGACATGAGATGAGAAAAGCAGGTAAATCTAGTTCAATCATCACCCACTTACAAAACACTTTTTTGCCCATTAAAATATTGTATATTAAGAAACTATTGAAGTTAAAATAAGCTGGAGTCATCTTTAAATATTCCATAAAAAATGAACAATGATTTTATCAAATACCAGGCACTTCTTCAAAAAGGAAAAAGGCATATGGCTTGAAACTAGAGCAGAATATACAAGTTTCCAGTTAGTTAATATTTAACTAATTTTCTTGTAATAAATAGCAAAACAGGATTATATTATAAATATCTACGTTTATTCTTCAGTTAGTTTCCTTACACCTGCATACTTTTATCTTGAGAACAGATAAGTGATTTTCATCAGCTTGGGAGTCTTACATTTTTAGTTTATTAACTAAAATACCACCCCCATATAATATGTATGAAAAAATATTTACTTAAATCAAGCAGATGAGTTGTCATTCTTTCAGGAATCACCAAATAGCCCCAAAACTTTCATCTTCTGCTCTGCATCTTGTTCCCATTTATTGATTCATATTACCTGAGTAAATTTTTCTCTGAATTGCATCATTAGAATGTTGCTCAATATTTCCTCAAAACTCAACTCTGGCAACACCAATCAACTTGTGGATTCCTACTTTCATACCCACACATAACATCCTAATGATGCCATTTTATGCACACTGCCATATAATTTTAGTTATTTTCATTTAGAATTAAACGTAAACCTTCATTTTCCTGCATGTGCTCATAAATTCAGTTTCACAAGATCAGACCACCTCCATTAATTAATTTTTTCACCTTTTCTTAATTTCCCAGATGTACAATATTTTCATTTCATCCCTCTCTTCAGCATTTAGTGCTCTTATATTCTAAGCCAGAGTCTTCCATATGCCATAATTCTCAACAAACAGGCCAACAGGATTCTGTCCTCCTTTACCCATCATGGCTTAGTTAATAGAAATGTTCATATAGTACTTTTCAGTAAAACAGATACTATGTAGGTTAGGTCAATACTCATCATTCTCCAGTCATATGCATAACTGTAATTTGGTCACACCAGGCCATATTTAAATTATAGTCCCCCCCCCTCTCCATTTATTTTCTGCTACTATATTTACTTATGGAGTTTCTAAGGGGATTGGTATTATTGGAGAATTTCTCAGGGGTATGTTATGAGTGGGTATGAAAGTAGGAATCCACAGATTGATTGGTGTTACCAATCCCAGAGTTGAATTTTGAGGATGGACACAATTATAGAGAAAAAAATTGATTTACTGATTATTGACTATCCTAGAGACAAAGGCAGGCCTAAAGAGAGGAGGGATTACAGTCTGTTTCATGCAAATTTGACAGTGGTGGGATTCAAATATGTAAACAACCAGTTCTCTGTGTGGATGCCGCTTCCAGAAGTCCATTCTGGGTGTGGGCAGCAAAAAATTAGCTACCAGTTCTGCCAAAGTGGTGTGAACGGGCTGAATCCCACCACTGAAATTAGAGTATAAGGTTGTATTCAACAACATAGTGGTTGATTGAATATAAGACATCATGTGCCTAGTGAGAAAAGTTAAGCTATTGGGATTAACTATGAGATAAAGGGACAGGACTACAAAAACGAGAGGTTGAAAGAAAAGCAGTTTATAAATATAGTTTCTTCCTTTGCTTTCCCAGAGCTCTGCTTACCTCTGAGCATTTCTTGGTCTTCTGAATGTTATATGGCTGAACTGACAATTTAGTTTCCTTAGAAAGATGCATCTGAGTTAGGGGCTTTTAGCTCTCCACCAAATCATCCTTAAGTAGCTCTCCCAATTGTCAGATGGACAGCCATACTAATCTGTGACTGAGATCACATATTACACAGTCATGATTTGGTTTACTAAACATATCACAACTATATGGGATTACATAAGCCACAAACTACTATGTATAAGTTATAATAATTAGTTTGATGTTTCTATGAGGTGGTCCCATAGATACTGATCTCCACAGCTGCCAATCATGGCATTGGTCAACTGAAATTTTTACATAACACTTTTTAGTAAGAAAAAGTAGTAAGAAGTAAGTAAGAAAAAGTGTAGTCCAACCCTAACGTGCAGCATTCCTGACTCATAGTAAAGAAAATATCAATCACTTTTGACATACTTTGGCTTATAATGTGGAACTGAAGACCAGATTTAAGGTTCACTCATGCTCTTCTATGGAAGATAGGATCTCTACTCCAGATTATTTTGTAAACTTTACTGTTGCCCACATTCCATAAAGTAGGAGATACGTGCAATATACCAAAACATATTCAGAATGTCTTTTTTTGGCTGTCTCTCTCTCTCTCTCTCTCTCTGTGTGTGTGTGTGTTCATCTGTGTAAGCAATATATGTTCATGAGAAGGGCAACCATTTTAATATAGATGTACTAAGGATACTAAAGAAAAAAAGCCCAGAATCCTGACAGCAATCTACAGGTTAAAAATCACAGACATAAACACACTAAATGTACTACAATGTCAGAACTTCTCTTCACAATTTATTTTCAATTACAAAGGATGTTGCATACATTGATGAGTCTGTATGTGACTAGAAATGCTCGGGCTCAAGGATGACAGAAAAAAAACAATATTTTGTGTCTTTTTTTAAAAAAAGGAAAAATACACAACATTAAACATTATAAAAGTTGCAAACAGATCATGCTTTGAACAAGATATTTTTTTCTAAACAAAGACAAGACCTTCAATACATTTCTCTGAGCTCCAGCTGGAAATGGACCACAGAACATTATAACAGCATTACAAACATAACCCTGGTAGAGGAAAATCACAATAGTTTTTAATGTACTATTTTTACTTTTCAAAAACTTTGCTGTGTTTGCATATACTATCAGATTTGCTCCCCAATCTTAAACAGGTTTACAGAGGCATCCCATGATACAGTGAAATCTACTTCCAAGTAAGAATGCTTAAGGCTGCAGCCCTAATTCTTAATCAGATTTTCAGTATATTTAAGGAAAGACGACTTAATTTGTAGAATATACTACAGTAACCAATACTAAATGTTTTGTTCTTTTGAGAACAGTATTGCAGCAGCAGAAATTTCCATTATTTTTAGAAGCTAGAAATGATTTTTTGAAAAGTTGTTGAAGTTAGAAATAACTTCAAGCTTTCATGTTGAAACTTCCATGGCTAGCACACATTTGAATAGGAATTTAAGGCAGATCCAATGAAATCAACGGGAAATCAAAATAATGTACTTTTAACACTTAAGAAATAGATATTTAAAGTCTTTTATAGCCCATTAAATGTTAAAATCATATTTAAAAGAAATATATGTTTAATACAGGAAAAATACCAACAATATCTGGATGAACTAAACTAGAAACTTCATACCTAGAGGCAATTCAGAGCATTGGGATGAGGTATGACCTTTATACCACTGGAGATACTAAGTTAATTCCTGATGAAATGGTAGTCTAGAAGATTCTCTGACCTAATATAACATATTTTTTTCTTTTTTACTTAGGTTTAATTTAGGCTTAAACTTTCTATTTTAGAAAAAGTTAAGGCTACAGCCCTATATGCAACAGTGTAGTAAATTCCATGTAAAATGGGGTATTTTTAAGGATGTTTGCTTAGGATTAGGGAGTGACCAGTATGTTCTTGTGGAAGTTCCTAACATCTTAAGAGGCTAAGCATTTCACTGCATGAACACTATCACCCAAAATAATGGAGGAAAATTAAAGAGTATACCTCTGAGATCCAATCGTTAGAATGCTTTGAAGGAAGTGTGTGCTAAAGTGCCATTTGTCAAAGCATCCAGTTTTACTCTGGAAATAGCCTAAGTATTATTGTGGTAATGCCCTTACATGCCATGATTTATTACGGTAATTAAAGAGATTGGATTAGTAATTGACTGAAATATAATTTGCTCAATCCCTCAGGTAAAAACAAAATAAAAATAAAAAGCTGAAGACACTGCATTTTAGTGCAGTAATCAATTATACAAAATAGAGCTTTCCATCTGATAGCAGACTAAAATACATGATTTTACACCTAAAGCCTTACTTTAAAAAAAAGAAGGAAACTATGAGTAGACAGGAGTGAAATTCAGGCCTTAAGGCCTAAACGTTTG